TATGGTTAGATAAAGTTAGTTTTCTTGGTCATGTTATTTCAGGCGATGGTATTGCTGTAGATCCATCCAAGGTAGATGCAGTATTATAGTGGGAAACTCTGAAGTCGGTTATAGAAATTAGAAGCTTTTTAGGCTTGGCTGTTTATTATAGAAGGTTCATTGAAGGCATTTCTAAGTTAGCAATTTTGTTGACTCACCTAACTTGTAAAGGCAAAGCATTTGTGTGGGATATTCAGTTTGAGGAAAGTTTCACCTAGCTAAAGAATCGTTCATTGTATATTGTGATGCTTATAAATTGGGTTTAGGTGGTGTGCTCATTCAGAATGGTAAAGTGGTAGCTTATGCGTCTAGGCAATTAAGGATTAATGAAAGGAATTACCCTACTCATGATCTAGAATTAGCCGGAGTGGTGTTTGTACTAAAAATTTGGAGACATTATCTTTAAGGTTCCATATCTGAAATATTTAGTGATCACAAGAGCTTGAAATATTTGTTCGACCAAAAGGAATTGAATATGAGACAACGAAGATGGATAGAACTGTTGACGGACTATGATTTTGGCTTAAATTACCATATGGGTAAAGCTAATGTTGTGGAAGATGCTTTAAGTCGAAAGTCGTTACACATGTCTGCTATGATGGTTAGAGAACTAGAGATGATTGAGCAGTTCAAATATTTGAAATTGGTCTGTGAAGTAATGCCACAGAGTGTTATGATGGGAATCTTGAAGATCAACAATGACTTCATGAATAATATTAAAGAGACTAAAAAATAAGATGTCAAACTGGTAGATTTGATGGTGGGAGGTAATCACTCTTAAGATAGTGACTTCAAAGTAGACGAATAGGGTGTGTTGAGATTTCAGAATAGAGTTTGTATTTCTGATGACTCTGAGATGAAAAAGATGATCCTAGAAGAAAGCCATAGAAGTATCTTAAGTATTCACCCAGGTGTGACTAAGATGTATCAAGATTTGAAGAAGTTATTTTGGTGGCCCAAATTGAAACGAGATGTGAAATAGTTTATATATGCATGTAACTTGTCAGAAGTCGATAATCGAACATCAGAAACCTGTGGGGTTGTTGAAACCGTTAAATGTTACAGAGTAGAAATGGGATAGTATATCCATGGACTTTATGACGGGGTTTCCGAGCACTCCAAGGGGACATGATACAATTTGGGTGATTATGAATAGGTTAACGAAGTTAGCTCATTTTATTCTGATTGGTATCAGTTTTCGAGTACCACAGTTGGTGAAGATTTATATCTGTGTGATTGTGAAGCTTCATAGAGTTCCATCTAGCATTTTGTCTGATAGAGATCCAAAGTTTACCTCTAAATTTTGGAAGAGTTTGCAGGATGTGTTGGGATCTAAGCTGAGATTGAGTTCGGCATATCAGTCAGTGGATGATTTGGTGAGAGCTTGTGTGCTTGAGCAAGGAAGAACCTGGGATAGTTATCTTCTCTTGATAGAGTTTAATAATAACAATAGTTACCATTATAGCATTGGAATGACACCGTTTGAGGCATTGTATGGTCAGAGGTGTAGGACTCTGTTATGTTGGTATGAATCTGGTGAGAGTGTAGTGCTTGGACCAGGAATTATCCAACATACTACAAAAAAACTGAAGTTAATTTGGGAAAAGATGAAAAATTCGTAGAGTAGGCAAAAGAGTTACCATGAAAAGCGGAGGAAAGACCTTGAATTTCAGAAGGGATATCATGTATTTTTGAGAATCACGCTGGTGAACCATGTTGGACGAGAATTGAAATCGAAGAAACTTACTCCTATGTTTATTGGTCTGTATTAGATTTCAGACAAAGTAGGAACTGTTGCTTATAGGGTGGCCTTTCCACCTAACCTTTTGAATTTGCATGATGTGTTTCATGTGTCGCAACTTCAGAAGTATATTTCAGATCTATCTCATGTGATTCCAATGGATGACGTGCAAGTGAGGGATAACCTTACAGTTGAGATCATACCGGTGAGAATCGAAGGCCATGAAATAAAGAAGTTAAGGGGCAAGGAATTTCCTCTCGTGAAAGTAGTTTACGAAGGAGCAGCTGCATAAATTATGACGTGGGAATTAGAGAGAAAAATGCAGGAGTCTTACCCAAACTTGTTCGAATAAGGTAATTTTCAAGGACGAAAATATTTTAAGTGGGGGAGAGTTATAACGCCCCGTTTAAATATTTAGTCGCTATTTGTTGACTTTGAATTATTTTTCCATAACTAAGGGTATGTAGGCATGGCCAAGGGTATGAGAGAACTTAGTCTTAGTTAAATAATTAGAATTTAAACTTAGTCTATGTTATAATAATAATAATATTGGTGAATGATGAGATATACTATTTTTATTAATAAAAATATTATTAGATATATGGTAAAGTTACCACTAATGATATTATTATTATTATTATTATTATTATTATTATTATTATTAGTATTATAGTTATTATTATTATAATTATTATTATTACTTGCTATTAAGAATAAAACATTATATTGGGAGAGTGGTAGAGGCAATTGGGAAAACTGTTGTCACGTAGAAATAAAGAAGAGAAGAGAAGGGAAAAGATAGGGTAAGAGAATTCCACCATTGTTAGAGGAATCAAAGCTCCAAACTAAGGTAAGAGGGGAGAATGAGTTCTCTAAAGGGTGATTATAACATGAGAGGGTAGTGAGGGTTCCTTTCCCTCTTTAGGTTTTTGGTACATAGTTGATGTATGTTCTTCCTTGTTTGATTGATATTGTCCCTATGGGATTCTATATGGAATTATGGATTAATTGATGCCAATGATGTAATTGTTGTTGATAATTGTTGTTGTTGTGATGTTATTCCATGAAAACCCCAATCTGGAAAATATGGGTTTGTGGGAATTGATGGATTTATGATTTAAACTGTGAAAACCTTGATAAAATGATAGGTTAACAAAGTAGGATAAATCCTTTAGGCTTATACTGGTATGAATGTTATTTTGGGTCAAAATTAGAAGCTTGAAGCTGATCTAATGGGTGAAAAATCACACTGATGCGAAAACAGGATTTCTGGTGTTGTAGACTACCCATGCGCGTAAGCCAGGGGGCATTACGCGTATGAGGGGACTTCCCAAAGGGAATTATGCGTACATTACATGCCTTGTCCTGTGGCTAGCACACTCCTCTAGTAATACACGTAGGATACACATAAGGGAAGAGGGAATTACGCATATGGAAAGGCCATTACGCGTATGGAATTTCTTAAGGAGATTTTAAGGGAAATCCCCCTCTTGTCATACGCGTAAGGCTGAAGGCATTATGCGTATGAAGCCTGGGAATTTTGGCCCTACACGTAACTATCACAGGTGTTGGGGCGAGCCAGCAAGGCATTACGCGTATGGAGCAGGGCCATACGCTTATGAGCAGGCCTGTGTGGAAATTTTCCAATTTTCGCGATTTCTTTCCCGTTTTCGTTGTAGTGTAATTTCTTTTGGTCTGTAATGACTAGTATGACTTAGGAAAATATAGGAAGGCTAGTAATAAAGGGAATTGGGTTAAACCATGGAACTTGGTGTGAATTGTTTAATTTTATTGCATGATGATAATGATGTTGGTGGCCTTATTGGAGAATGTGGTGGACTTATGCCCTATGGTTGCATGATTATGTTGTGCATGTTAGTGTTGCATGAAAGCATTAGTGAGAGCTTATACTCTGTTGTTGGCCTATAATAGTGTTATGTTGAGGGCTTATGCTCTGTTGCTTCCCTATTCAACATAATAATGAGGACTTACGCCCTGTTGGTACCACATACCTCGAGTTGATGTAGGTCTCATTGCATTGCATTATTGTTGAGTCGATGTTGTGTTGCATGAATGACGAATGTGTTGCAAAGTATTGTGTGAAATGTGAACTTTATAAATCATCTAAATTGTGTGAACTACTACTCCTTAGCATGTAATATTCATCGTATATTTATTGAATGTAATTCTCACACCTTTTCTGTTGTTGTGTCTGTGCTCCTCAGGGGATACGAATAATCAGGTACTCGAGTAGTACTTGGAGTGAGTGTGACCTGATCGAGTCTTAGGAGTCGCTCTGATACGTAACACGTGATATGGGAGTTTGCTATGTTTTTGCATTACTTTATTCGTTACGTATCTTACCTTTATATCTATGTTGGACCAGGTAATTTTCTAGAGTTTTTATTATTGTTGAGGGCTTAATGCCATGGAAGTGAATCCATTTAATTATTCCATTGTTATTTTTATTTTATGAGAAATGAAGTAATAAAGTGACTTGAAACTCTATGATTTTTTGAAATATGTGACATCCTACTTGCAGACTCTGATATATTTCATATATTTTATTATAATCAATATATTTGGGAAAGTGGGGTGTTCCAATATCCTTACTTTTTATCATTTTCTACTTTCAAATATACATGTATACTTGCATGTGACACGTTTACAAGCAACATTCATATTGGGTTTGTTCAAGCTATTGAAGATACTATTGAAGATTTTGACCCCTGCATACATATGCTGAAGAGAAAGGAGTTATAGTGGATAGCCTCTGAAAGAGAGACTCCAAAATAAGGTCTGACATTTGAAGAAAATGGTAAGATACTGAAAGATATCAGTTGTGTCAGTATGGATGTCAACAACTTGAAGAGTGATCATATAAAAGACAATGAGAATGTGATAATTCTCATTCATGGAAAAGACATAGTGCAATGTAAATTGCTTGTTAAGATGCAAGAGCTTGCAGTTCAACAAATGCTGACTAAGGCTGGATTCGACATGATAAATATGAGCTACCTTCCAGATTTATAAATGTAGGACTACTCATGTGACTCCCAGGGAAAAATTTGCATTCAATCGTGGTAGAGTGAACCAAGGCTTAAATATTTCATCAAAGTTGATGAAGAAGATGTTGTCCAATATGTTCCAGACATTGTAAGTAACATAATGGTAATTAAGGTCCCATCTCTGAATGAGGATAATCAAGTTGCGGAAGAAAATGACTTGGTCATTGTGTTCAGTCAAAATGGAAAATTTTCCCCATAATAATGATGAAAGAATGCTAGAGGAGATGTGTTTGTATCTTAAAAGGATAGGTCTTGAAAGGAAGATGTCAATAGAAGTCTTGACATTTGAAGAAGTGGTAGAACGGTTGGAAAAATTATGGGTAACAGATATGAATAACCTCGTGATGAGTAACAGTAATGACAATGTAGATAATAATAAGAGCTCTTTGGATCAATGCCTTCCTCCTATCAACAACATCAAATATATGATACACAAGGAGAAATTTTGTGTAATTTTGTCATCTAATGAAGCTAGATATACTTCTGCGGGAAGCAATGGAAAGGTATTGATCTGGATGAGTCAGTACAATGTGTGACAAGATGTTATGACATTGATATGGGACATTCTCACTAAGCTTTGTATGGAAATCAGTTTAAAGTAATAAGGTATGCCCTTGGTATATGCATCTTTCAGAGTCCATATAAATCAATGTTGGGGAGTTGTGTCTAAAGATAAAAACATTTCTCTCCCATAAGACTACTTTGGAACACAAAATAAGGAAGTTTCCTTGGTTATATTAGGAGTGTTATAATTGGGCTGATGTTACTAGCAAGACAAAGAGATATATTTCCTTATCCTAATCCCATATTACAGATACTTCCCTCAACATGAATCAAAATCAAGCTGGTGCGAGCAAACTTGTCCAAGAGATTGATGCCTCAAATGAGGTTATTGATATTCTGGAGTTATGGTTGAATAAAGCCAAGGAAGCTCAAGAAGTTAAGAATAAAATCTTAGTTGTTGAACCAGATGATGGAAAAGGCTACAAGAAGATTCTTATCAAGAATATGACCCTGAAAATATAAAGAAGATAGAGACTATTGTGAAGGACCTAATGAATCTGGATGTGAGTGATTCTGAATTAGATGAAGACCTTGAGAACTAAAGGGATGAAGATCAAAGACCTTTTGGTGGTCGAAGGGGTAATTTTTTTGTTGACCCTTGTATTCTAGGCATGTTTCTCCCGCTTTTCTATAAAGGCCATATAACATATTGATATTAGTTTATGTAAGAATGTTCTGGTTCTGTATGGACTAACATACTAACCTTTGCAAGATTGACATTATGCATGGTATGCTCTTTACATGCTGACTTCTTTAAAGAACTAACCCTTTGCCAAATTATCACAAAAGGGGGAGTAATGAGGAGAAGTGGTGTATCTTCTATGTGCAGATAAACCTGGTGTTGTTTAGTATTGACTGTTTAGGAAGTACTAATGTTGTGCTCCTTGTTAGAGCATCAGACATGATATATGGCCCATGTATATGTGAAAACAGATCTAAAAGTTAGTTTACTTGTATTAGTAGATTTGACATATCTTAATCATTAACTACTAATTTTTTGTATTGTGTATGACTAAGTTTGTGAATGATTTCATAGTAATGATTGTTAGTTAGTAGGTGTGATACGGTGGCAGAACCGACTGTTTTGGAAAATGCTGGTTTGCGTTTTGCGTTTGTGTTTGCAAAATGTCGCGGTAAGCAAGAGGCACCACCGACTTTTATTTTATCCAACTGGAAAGGAAAAAAGCACAAAAAAATTCCTTTTTCGAGATTTTGAGTACGGGGGGTAGATTATAGAAAGGGAAGGTATTAGCACCCTTTCTATCCATGGTTTTCCATGGGCTCTTAGGTACTTGCTCATCATTTTAAAAATTGCTTCCATGTTTGTGTGTTTTGAAAAGTTTTTGTTTTACTTCGTTTTAACCCTTGTATCAGTCCTAAAGAGTGTTACGAAGTTGTTTTTGAAAACTGTTTTGAAAGTGTTTGTGTGAAAAAGTTTGATTTGAGCAAGTACCTACTAGCATCTACGTACTCGAAAAAAAAGATCGTTTCTATTCTTGTTCCTTTAGACAACGCTATCCTACTATTGAGAAATAGGTAGCACCGTCGTTGGAATTTGTAAGGGTCAATTCGAAAGGGACGTAATGGTCATTAAAGGCAACATGTAGGGATACCTTAGCATTTCGAAGGGACTGTCATCATATATTTGTAGGTAACATCGAGGGACAAGATCATATACTGTAGGCAACTTCGAGGGACATCGAGGGACCATGATCTTTATGATGATTTTAACTGAGGGCCTTTGCTAAAGGTATCCCTACGTTCGAGGGACATGACCATTATTTTCCGAGGCAACCAAGTGAGGTATACCCTAAGGGTGCATATGTGCAAGGTGTGTTATATTCAGTTATTTTAGTCTTGTGTTAAGTTTGCTAATGTTTGATTATTCTTACCATACAATCCTATTAGTCATACATCTAGCAGTTAATAATTGCAGTAATTTAAAAGTGCAGAAATATAAAACCTAGCTATTACAAGGCTTCGGGGAGGGGGATTATGTACATATCCAAAACTGGGTGGAAAATAAATAAAAGCCGTAAAGGTCCTACTAATCATCTATTACATTCCAATATACAGTTGTAATAATAAAATGAAGTGCGAAAGAATAATAACGCGCAAATTTGAAAAGACGTCTAAAAATCCTAAGATATAAAATTTTTTTGTTGTTTTTTTGTTTTAATTTATAAAAATGGTTTAAGTTAAAAAATAATTGATCTAGATCTATATTAAAAAAAAAGATAATTATTAAAGAAACATGAAATTTAAATAAAAGAAATTAATTCTATGTTTTTTTTTGGTATTTTGTTACGAAAATGAAAATGAATTAAAATGAAATTAAACCTAATTTCTATTAATTTTAATTTTAAAAAAAAAGTTAAAGTGTTTAGTTAATTAATTTACCAAAATTAAAACTTAATTAAGAAAAAATCCTAAATCTATTTTTATGTGATTTTTATATTTGTTTATTGATAAAAATAAAAAAGGGATTAAAAGAAATAAATGAAATGAATAAAACAAGAAAATAAAAATGGGCCTAGTAGCAAAAGTAAACATGGGGTGCAATCATCAGAAATCCCTAGGCCCGAATCTTCGAAAGCTTCATGCTCTAACCATGGTGTGTTTTGATTCTTGCGTGGAACCTATGATTCAACCATCCATAACTGTTCTATATAAGCTCAAACAAACGTTAGCATACCATAAAATGTGATTAAAATTAGAGATTCGAAGTTTAAAATTTTACCAAACCGGTATTGTCAAATGGGGGCGTGCTAGGCATGTGATGGATTGCTCTTGGGCCTTGTAAGACTCATGAGGACTTCAAGAGGATGGTTTGAGGCTTGATGTCAATTGAGAGAGACCGGAACCTCGAGATATGACTTGCACCGATTTTTTTGATTTATGGAGATCTTTTTGAAGAGCTTTTGGAGAGCTTTTTGAAGAGATTTTTGAGAGCTTTTTAGAGAGGAATTTCTACCTTTTCAATCTTGTATGGCTCAATATTTATAGAGGAGAATGATGAGACAAGAAAGCATTGAAAGAATCTCCCTCATAATGTTGTGTTTTAAGACCATGATTAAGATTTGAAAAAATGCCATTTTTGATGATTTTATGCCATTTTCACACGTGGATGAACCTGGACATATTTGAAGGATTATTGCACGAAATCAATTGAAATAAACCAACATAAAACTTTCCCAAAATGGATTCACATCAAAATTTACATTATTTCTATTATTTATTTATTTAATTCTGAATTTTAATGAATAAAATATCAAAATAAATAACATAAATAGTAGAAAAATGTATGGGTGGGCTTAGAGATCGTGGACCATGTTAGGAATGAGTTTCAAACTTGAAAAGATAGGCCCATTTGAAAAAAATCCATGTTTGGTCAATATTTGCTTCATGCATCTTTTTCAAAAATTGTCCAACTTTGACAATGCATATCTCTCTCAATTTTAACCTTATGAGGGTGTTCTTGGACTTTTTAGAAATCTTAGCATGTCCCTTAAGCAACCTCTTTGTTTTCATCTCAATTGGATATTCCATGTTCATGTAAGAAGCTTTGACCCAAAAGGTGTTTTTGTTGACTTTTCAAAATGACCTATAATGTCCAAATTTATATATTCTTGTGTGTGCATATTTTGAACTTGGGAGATGAACATGAAATGTATGGAATTACATCCTCTTCAAAATGAGATTTGGATGGTTCATTTCTGATAAAGTATGAGAAAGTTATTCTTGGTCAAAGTTGAGTTGACTTTTCCTACAAAACCCTAATTTAGCAACTTTTGGGTTTTAATGAATTGTGAGCAATCCTTGAGGAATCATGATCAACCCTTGATCAAATGATCAATAATGCTTCAAAATGAGGATGTTGACCAAAAATCTTGAAGTTTGACTGTATGTGGGCCACAATTGACTTTTGCCCTAGCACAGTCGACTTTTAGGCCTTTGAGCAATTGAGTGAGCAAACTTCCTCTGCAAGGCTTGAAACTTGACATGGATGATCTTGAGAACATATTAGGACAATAGTGAGAATTTTGGACCCTTTGGACTCAAACATCTTGATGCAAAATGAAACCCTAATTTGAGGTAGTCTGCCTTTAGGATATAGTTTGTCTGGTCAACTCTTGGACTTCCTTGGGCAATTTGAAGACCTTACTTGAAATGTATTGAGAAATATGGGAGGGAAAATTTTGGGGTACAATAATAGGATTATATGCTACTAACTATGTGCTAACTGGGTACATGCATGATTAAGTTTGTGAATGATTTCATTTTGGATTGTCTATTTGGTTTGGAGCAACTGAATGGATTATGTGTAAGCATCTGATCTTGATGCTACTGGCTTTTGTTGATGTTGTGCTTAATTTTAATATATATATACAAGAATGTTGCTGCGGTGCTTAAACTCTAATAAATGGGAAGAATGTTGTTGCTACTGACTGAATACTCTGATGAAGACCTTTGTTGCTACTCGTGGATGAAGGCCCGTGATTCCATTGTTATTCACTTTTTTCAATATGAACAAAGTGTTACTTTTAAGATTTGAACAAAGTGATATATCTTAAAGAGTTGTTTCACCATAATTTTCCAAAGGGGGAGATTGAAGTTCTTTGTAAAATGGTCCTTTGGATTGGCAGCATTTTACAAAACAACAACATGGAAGAAGTGGTCAAAGTGTTTAAGATAATCTAGCTTGATAAAGTTATATGGAGGTGTACAAGATACACATGCTAGACACGATGTCCCAACATGCTGATCGACATTTGGGCATGGCACATCAGGACTTGGATGTTGCATTTTGGAAGATTCTCTGATCAAAGATTGGATCTGATTTTATTGTTATAAAGTTAAAAAACATGATTATATGATTTGTTCGACAATTGTGAAGATCAACTCAGATTTTAAGATATTTAAATTTGAATTTGTAACAAACCAAATCATATTTTTTGTTAGAGATATTCAAGGAACAAATCAAATATCCAACAAAATCTGCATTATTTCATGACGAAATCAAATCTCAAATCCATGAAGAAAAGCCCAGAAGAATTATGCTATATAAGAAGGACATGACCTGATTTGGAATTCAAGCATTCAAGTATACAAATTGAAGATTTTTAGAGTGATAGATTTTGTGTCTTGTATTCCACTCTATTTCCCTAATAGGATTATTGTAGAATCTATATGTACACCTCCATGTTTCCGTAACTTGGCATAGAAGGTTTGTCTAGTTAAGCCGAAAAATTCAACATCATTCATCTTATTGATTGATGTTGATCACTAGGGTTTAGTGGTTGTAACATCTTATTGCAGGTTTTGTGATAGAGAAGAAAATGAGTAGGTTCTCAGATTTAGGGGGAAGCTCTAAATAGAAAGTCATTGGGTAGTGTTAGGAAGAGACGTTGAACAACAAGGGCTTGTTATTGCTTGTAAGTCTAATGTACTAAGCTACTAAT